TCTTTCAATATTGGTAACCAGATCCTACTACATTCTGCCGAGGAATTGGCGACACAATTGGCCTCATTGACAGATTTTTTTTTCTGACGGATATTCTCAAGTTAAAGTTGATTTCATGTAATCGAATGAACTATCTTATAAGTAAAGTCGTCCCAGGAGCGCAACTCAACAATATTGGCAATATCATTTTAAAGTCGTCTACTTTAAAATGCATAATGTATGTCTGAATTGTCAATATAAATGAGTCAGATAAAATTAAATTATCAGAAGAATTTTTTCACTATGTAACAAAAAACAAAATTTGTTTAATTTACTATTTGTATTTTGAGAACGATTTCCGAATTGGAAATTGAAACGTCAATAAATGTATTTTTATCTTTAATGTGGCTTATTCCCAGTTATAAATAGTAACTAATATAGAATTATTTTAGAATATCCACTATAAATTGTCCAAAATAGTTGAAGGGAATATGGTTATTTCCAGAATCTCTGTGAGGAGAATTCCCTTCTATAATTGAAATAAAAATATATACATGAGCTGGCCACGTACCTAAGAGGTGGAGGCCATAAAACGAAAAAAGAAGAAGAAGAAAAGTAATTTGTTTTGATTTTTTTAAAATTATTTTAGCAAGAGTCTGTTCAGATCTTTTTAAATCTGAATTAATTGGATTAATGTAGAATATTTATTTTATTTTATTTAACTACGATATTTTTTATCAAATTTGTACATATTTGAATTGCCGCCTTCAAAATGGCGGATTTTGGTCGTAAACGCGATTGGCTGTTCAAAATAGATGCGCGTGAGCAGACCATGTTTCCTAGGAGCGATTAATTACAGGGACCCGATCCGTCAACTGCGCATGTGCGCGACGACTGCGTTCGAAATATTTCGAACCTTCAAATGAAAATGTTAAGCGGTAATAGCGGTATCTTGCCCTGTCGAATAAAAATTGTTTTAAATAGTTTCGTGTTTACGTAAGTTGTAAATATGTCAGTGAACTGTTTTGAATGTGGTAAAATTTTCTCAAATCAGTTTTTAACTTAAATAAACATATAAAAAATATACATGGTAAACTTTCTAGGCCGATGTAATATCCAGTTTTTTATGGAAGAGTATTGAAGAATTAAGCTATTTTATACCAGAATGTTATTTAAATTTAGTTCATTAATAATTTCTTTACTTTCAATAACAATAAATCAATTTAAGTTTATAATAATACTTATATAATAATTTATTATAATCCCTATTTTCACTCATAAACGTGTATTACGTTAAATATTTAAATTATCTGGTACGTTAACAATCTCCATATGCTACTACAACAAAATAACAATGTTGGACCGTTAATATCAAAGTCGTCAATATACATTAGATTAATATGATTTTCTTTCTTATTACTGAGAGTTCAAGTTATTTATTCTCTATATTTTAGTTATGAATGTAACAACTATGTACCTATAGTAATAAATATTTTAAAATTTCCGATTTGTATGCCTAAATAGTTTTTATAAATTTGCTCAGATTTTTTTAGTTTGGAGATGTCACTTTTGATGCCATTTCAAAAATTGCACATGCGCAGTTGACGGATCGGGTCCCTGTAATTAATCGCTCCTATGTTTCCTTATATCATGATAGTTTGACACAATATAACCAACCAATCAAAGGACTTTAGACGTGGTTTCGTCAGATATCGATCCAATCAGCGCGTTCTATTAACATCCCACAAATGACGCAGTTGAGGAGCGGCAAATTGAAAACCGTGAAATTTTACATAACCAGAGCTTATTTATTAATGTAATAAATTTATAAACATTATGGAGGAGAACCTAATTTTGTGCATATAGTTCTTTTATTTTCTTTTTAGAATTTGCTTTTCAGATATTTACAAGAAATATTGTTTACTTCAAGAATATTATAAGATCCATATTACTCTTTTCTTTAAGTTCCACCTTCTATGGAAGGTTGGAAATTACCGTTACTATGCAGATCTTGTTAGAATCTAGAACAACTTCGTTAAATTCTTAAGCCAGGATAATTCTTAATCCCAAATACCACTTTCCTCCAATTTTTTCTGGGTTAAGTAATGAGTTATAGGAAATGTTTCTCTTTGCGCTTTCATCACGCGTCTTAAATAACTACCTAAGTAGTTTAGTTTTCGTTCTTAATCAATATTTTTTCCAAATTATTATTGATATTTATTACAAGATGTTCGTAATACAACCCTGTACTAAAATTTTTCCCTATTGTTTAATCACGCTTATTACAAGTTTGAATATAAAAGTATGGGTAGCGTTAGTTTTTTGCTGCTTTTTTGTGAGCCAAATACTAGAATACGTTATTTTTTGTATATAAAAAGTCGACAATTATTGCACTCATAAAATTGTGAAACTAGGGTTAAAACTGGTTGCCTAATTTTTGACTGCAATTTAAATTTAACAGTTTATAACATTTTTTAAATTTCAATTCAAACATATACTTAATTGTTTGGAAAATCAAACAAATTAATCTTTTTTGTACTCAGTAATAATTACAACATTTGGAAAAGATATTTATTAAAATCATGTTTCACTAAAACTGACCTTGATGTTTTATTTATTATATTATTATTTCAACCTTATCGACTGTTTAAAGATTATTGTGATTGTAGTATCATTAATTTTGAATAATGTTAAGATGTCTTAAATAAATATATAGCTGTATATAAAATATATAACTATACAAAATAACTATACACGGAAGTAGACTAAAATTACTAGTTTCAATTTTAGATAAAAATGACTTCTAAGGAGTAAATTTTTTTGATCTGAATCACTGTGAAGTTTTTGGGGCCAACGTTCGTCAGGCATTCTCAATAGGTGTCCAAACCATTTTAAAACTCTTCTTTCTATTCTGTCAATGATCGTTTCTGTAGCATTCATGTTATTTCTTATAACTAGATTCGTTGCTCTTTCTTTCCAGCCTTGATGTTCTAGCACTTCTTCTCAAATAATCCATTTCAACTGCCAACAATCTTCTCTTCAGGTCTGCATTATTTGTCCATACTTCAGAGCCATAACAAATAATCCATTCAGCCATGGTTTGCCCTATTCTTTTTTGTTTCTTTTGGAAATGTTGCGATCCCACCATAAGAAGTTCAGACATCCTACAATTTTACGTCCCTGATTAATTCGGTGTTTAATTTCGGTTTCTCCCAAGCCGTTCTTATCAATGAGTGCACCTAAATATTTAAATTTTTCCACTTGTTTGATTTCCACGTCCTCGTCTATCAACAATTCAAACCTTGCATCTGAATTGGTAACTAAATATTCTGTTTTCTTCATGCTGACTTGTAACCCCCATTTTACATATTCTCCGTATAGACACTTTATCATAAATTCTAGATCATAAGAATTTTGAGCTAGGACGACTTGGTCATCTGCAAAGTTCAGGGAGAACAGTACGTCATTTCCCATACAGATTCCCATTCCATGGCATTGGTGTTTCCAATTCTAGAGGGCTACCTCAATATATACATTAAACAGTAAGGGTGACATACTGAAAAATGTATTGATTACAGCGCACAATTCTTCGTTTAATATTGTGTCGCCTCCTATAAAACGGTAAAATCAATGGTAAATAAATTCAAAATAGTCATTTTTTGTGTGAAATTTTCCGTAGAATTCGAATTCGTTGTCAGAAAACCTCTTGCCGTTTAAAAGAAAAACTTTTATTCGAAAGTACTTGTATTAAGGCAACTTTTGTGAAAATTTGAAAAAAATTCAAGAGGGTGTTTTTGAGATATGAATTTTTCAAAAAAAGCGCTTTGTTTCGCATTTGTGGCTTTATATGACGTCATATGGCAATTCTGACACCTCGATCGTGTTAAGCGGGAAATTTTACATTGAAAAACATATAGTGGATATTTGTTTAAGCATATTATAGCTCGCTGTACTAAAAAAATCGGCGAAACACGAAAAAAATTGATAAAAAGCGTGAAACTTCAATAGCGCACCACGGCCTCCATTTTGAATATTAAGGTCTGAAAATTTGACAATCATGTTTTTTTGTCTAGTACAACATGTGTGTAAAATTTCAGCCAAATCGGAGAGGGTAACCAAAGGGTCACAAATCGACTTGTGTCCATTATTTCTGGAATTACCCTTAATCCTCTGTAGCAGTTAGGATCTTTTCGATTACCCTTTTTAAAGGCGGACACTGGCAGCATTGATTCATTAGAAAAGTTATTCGTTCTACTAGGAGTGGACCTCCTGCTTTAAGTAACTCTACAGCTATATTGCCAGGTCCTGGAGATCGCCCCTTTTTCATTTTAATTAACGCAATACGGACCTCTTTGTTAGTAGTATTAATGTTACTATTTGTTTGTCTCTCCATACTGTATTCCTCTCCCATTTATTCCAATCTGGACTCTTGGAGTAAATTTTAATAGTGATTTTCCCACTTTTCTATAGGAATTAAGTTGCTTAAGGAGTTATGGATGTTTTTATTTAGATTAGTGATAGGTCTCCATGCTTTCGTAGTCTGAGAACCACCAATTAAATTTTCAACTTGAAGACTTTTGTGTTCCCAGTAATTGTTTTTTTTTTATTTGATTGAGTTCTTCTCCTTTTTTCCTTTGATATGTTGTTTTATTGGTAGATGTTTTATTTGTTAGCCATTTCTTATATATTTTTTCTTGTGTCATTTCTTTTACGTTTTCTGTCATCCATGGTGGTTCGTGGTGTTTTTTGTCGTCGTTCTCTGTTCCCGTATAATGTATCCCGCGGTAAAAACTTGCTTCTAGTCGTCCCGTCGAAGAGTTTTTATCGGCTTTATCAACAGTTTTTTAAGTGTTGTTTGCAGTTTTCTATATTTAGTTAATTGTATAACTTATCAGTTACCTGATTTGTTTCCTGATTTTTGAAACTTTTCGAACAACAGGCAACGCCGTATTCAGTTTGGTCAAGACTCATTTCCTTATCTGTTGTGAAAAGAACCGGAATTTCTGATCTTCTAAATGTGTCTATCTTCTAGAGATGTTGGCGATCACAGTTGACCCATCTTATTCTATTCACAGCAGCTCGAAATAGATTAGTTGACGTTAGACCAGTCCATTTTCTAAGATTGGCCAGCCAGGATATACGTCTCCGTCCAGGGCTTCTCTTACTCTCAATCTTGCCCTGTAGAATCAACTGTAGAAGTCGGTATTTATCATTAAGCATGATGTGGCTAACACCTAAACTTGATTTCTATCAAATGACCATTTGCATACCATAAAGATCTTAATAGAAAAGTGCATCGAATACAACATACCACTGGTTCTTGCATTTGTCGATTACGAGAAGGCTTTTGATTCTGTAAAGTTTGAAACAATACTGGAAGCCCTAAATCAAAGTCGAATAGATTACAGATACACGATACTAATCAAAAACATCTACGAGAACGCTACATCAAGTATACAACTACACGAAGACACAGAAAAATTAAGCTTAGGTCGAGGAATTAGACAAAGAGACAATATTTCACCAAAATTGTTCACGGCAGCTCTAGAGTCAATATTTAAGAGCACTCAATGGCAAGATATGGGCATCAATATAGATGGAGAAAGATTAAATCACCTAAGATTTGCAGATGATGTTGTATTAATCGCAGATAATTTATAAGATACAGTTTCTATGATGCATTCGCATAAAAAGTCTGTCTGAAAGAGCAGGATTAATGATAAACTTTGAGAAAACTAAACTTATAACAAATCTCGTAATGAGTGGAAATATAACTATTGGCAATAATACCATACAACAAACAGACACTTACAAATATCTGGGACACGAAATCAAAATAAGCAGAGACAATCAAACACATGAAATACAGAGGCGAATAGGCCTAAAGTTCAATTCCCATGTGTCTCAAGCGAAAGGTTTATAACCAATGTGTTTTACCTGTACAAACTTATGGAGCAGAGACTTTAACACTCACGCAAAAATCTGCGAATAAACTCACAACGAGTTACACAACGAGCCATGGAACGTGTAATGCTGAACGTGAGCCTTCGAGACCACATAACAAACCAACAAATTAGGCAAAGATCAGGAGTTCAAGACGTCATCGAAAGAACCACGTCGCTTAAGTGGAACTGGGCAGGGCACTTAGCCAGAGCACAAGATGGACGGTGGACAAGACCTATTATGGAATGGAGGCCCAGAAACTATAAAAGAAGCCGAGGACGACCACCGACTAGATGAACCGATGATATAAAACGTGTAACGGGAAACTTACTACAAGCGGCCCAGTGTAGAGAACACTGGAAATAACTTAGGGAGGCCTATGTCCAGCAGTGGACGCGATTGGCTGATTGATCATGTGGCCGAAGTAAACCAATTTTATGTTTTTTATGGCATTAATAAATTCTTTGCCTTTTCTTAGCCTCTGGAGAATAGTTATGTCACTTGTGTGGTGTATATATGAGACCCTCAACATACGTCGGTAGCGCCACATTTCAAATGCCTCCAATCGTTTTATGGCATCTTCTGTAACTCCCAGCTTTGTACTCCATAAAGGAGGACACTAAAGACGTAACATCTAAGAAACCTTATGCGTATATTGATACTTAAAGATAAGTTGCAGAGAATTGTTCTAAGGCAAGTATCCTTAAAGTCTGTTTTAGACTATAACATAAAATGATATAAGAAAATGTTATAACAAAAACTTACATAAAATGATTGTGTACAATATTGGTACAAGAAGTTTTGTGTATTACATTGTCACATTTTGGTATCAAAATATGTTATGTGATTCTGCGCATTACATGCTAAATAGTCCTTTTGTAAAATTATTATGTTGGTGTACATGTACTTTTAACCTCAATGTTCTTATTCTTCTTTTTGTTATTGTAACGTTAACTCATTTTCTTCAACATTTAACCTAGTCTTTTATCCACGTAAATACCTAGTTAATTCTACCCTATTTACTTTTGCTTTAACAAAGACATAGGTATATATATTTATGATGGATAAGAAAAGTCTCCTATTATCTGCTGCTTCCATTACAACATTTCTTTTAATTCAGACAAACAAGAAAAAACGCCAATGAAATATGTGGTCTACAGCTTGACTTCAAAAAAGACAGGAAGGTCGTGGTGTTTTAAGTATGTTGTAAACTGAATTAAAAGACAATGAATCTGAAAAATATAGACAATATTTAAGAATGTGTAAGCCACAATTGAATGAACTTCTTGAACTGATTCGAGAAGCGAGAAGATATTACCAAACAGGATACAAAATTGTAACTGCGCATGCGTGTGTACTAATAATTGGTATCAAAATAGGACATGTTCTAATTTCTATACCATTTTTTGTTAACAGATTTTGTTGTCTGTTTTACATTATGACACAACTTAGTATACCATTTTCTTATATCATTTTATGTTATAGTCTAAAACAGACTTAATATTGCAGCCCAAATAGCATATTTTTTCCAGTCTTTGTAACGGTGTATCATTAATTGTAATTTGGACGTTTATGCCGGTGTTCTTACTAATGATCATTATTTTTGTCTTCTTGCAATTTAGTTTTAGGCCATATTTGTTTTTGCCTTTATCAAATGCCTTCTCAAAATCAATGAAACATGCATAGACATCGCAGTTGACATCCCTGGTACTCTATATTAGAACTTGCAAACTAAAAAGTGCTTCCCTCGTTCCAAGTCCTGCTCTTAATCCAAATTGAACTTCACTTAAGTGTTTTTCTAATTTGGTGTATATGCGCGACTGAATGATAGTAAGGAGTACTTTGAGTACATGTCTCATCAAACTAATTAATCTATGTTCTTCACATTTTCTAGCGTTGGCTTTTTTAGGAAGTGGAATGAATATTGATAGGAGCCAGTCTTTGCTGAATAGCTTCGTAAGAGCTGTGATTTGGTGTGACTGTAATAGCTTTAAAATTTCACCATGCACCTTATCAGGTCCTGGGGAATTCCTATCTTCAATCTGCTTAATTTCTGATAGTCATTTGCTTTTAATACAATAAAATATTTCTAAATTTTACTCATAGAAGACCTTTTGCCACTTATTTTACACTGCAGATAGTTTATATTCGTATATTACTTTCCGCATATAGTTCAAAATTTATTTCTTCAACAAATCGGGATAAACACAGGTGAGCATTTATCACACAGCACGCTGTTGCCGAATCGAAAGGTTGTATATGATAATATATATTTTCATAAATAACCAAAAATAACACTTTCGCCTTTACATTTTACATTTATTAAATATAAAACCAGGACAATATAAAACGTAACTAACTATGGCATAGTTATGTTTGCAGGAGCGGTCAACATATAAAACAAATAAATAAAATTTAAATAAAAGTCCGAAATAACACATTCATATATAGACGAGTATTGAAACGTGACGCTTATATCTACGGTAAACCTCTGGTTACGCGAATCCTTTAGTCATCTGTTGTTCAACAACGGATTTATTCTGCAATCATATCTTTGGTTCCTTGGCAGCACGTCGGCTTGGAGCATTGTATCGCTGGGTCCTGGGTCCTGTAACGACAACAAAAATTTAGCAAAGTGTGTATATAAAAGAAAAGATAAGAATGTAAATAGGAATAAACTATTATAGAAATCCACACGGGAAATGAAATTCCTATAGTTGGCTGTAGCACAAAAGTTTATTTAAAATCCTTTAAAAAAGGTATATAATAACAAATCCGTTTCGGGCTACATCAGAACGTTTTCGGACTAAAAAGCCCATCATATTAATAACTTGAAGCTTATAAACAATTTGAATAACTTTATCAATTGAAGAGTGGAAGTTTCAAATGAGCTAAGTGCCAAAACCAGCATTTTTAAATATTCAGTAAAAACGTTAAGAAAACGCAACGATTAATTTTGTTTGTTTATTTATTAAAAAATCTGTATATAATAAAACGAAAAACTTAATCTAAAAATATAATAATGTTATTAAGAAACTAAACGAAGAAAATTCTTTTTTTTTTTTTTTAATAGGAAGGTGCTAAGTGTCCACCTACTTTTTCTCAATATTGTTCTGTAGCTATTTCCTTGCGACATTTTTAATTTATTACTATTTAAATGGGAATAAGCCACAATTAAAGGTTAAAGTACGTTTATTGACGTTTAAATTTCCACTACGGAAATCGTTCTTCTCAATTGTGGCTTATTCCGATTTAAATAGTAATTTACTTTTTCTTAGTATCAGAGTGAAATATTATTATTTTGCATTTGATTTGTTAGTGTTTTCAGCAGGGTCTTCTTGTGCAGTTTCAACTACTCCTAGTAAATCTTTGTGGAACTGTTGATGCTGAGCATTTTTGAGGTATAGTATCATTGAATTAGCTATTCGAAGAAGTCAAACAGTTCATATCTCTAGGGACATCGGTTAACCCCAATAATAACACATCTGAGGAAATAAAAAGGCGAAGAATAATTGCAAACAGGTGTTATCATGGTCTATCAAAGTACTTAGCTAATAAACGTCTGTCTCAAAAAACTCGTATAAGGCTGTATACAACACTGATAGTCCCCGTTCTCACATATGGATCAGAGGCATGGACGCTAACTAAAACAGATAAATCCGCTCTATCGATTTTTGAAAGAAAGGTGCTACGCAAGATATTCGGAGCGGTCTGTGAGAACGAAATATGGATAACATATTTCTGTTGATAACAACTCAGTTGTCTCTTCGTCTCAGGACCATTTTACCTATGTAGGGTCATACGTCGCCATGTTACCAATTCCAACGATAACTTAAACATCATAATTTGTAATCACACATAATGTAAATCAAATGTAAATTTATATCATTTAAAGGGTTTGGACCCATATATTTTGGTGGCTCATAGCATGTATACCTCGTTTGCACTGATGATGGATTTATTAATCCGAAAACGTTTTGCAATATCTTTGTGATAGTAAGGATTTTAAATAAATTTTTTGTGATATATGGTATACAGCCAGCTACAAGAACTTAGTTTCCTAGTGGATTTTTGAAATATGGAGGCGTAGATATAACTTTGAACTGCAGAATATCTACAAGCATACGTTTGGTGGTAAAGATTCCACTATAATTAAACGAAACCGCCTGCAGTGGACAGGACATGTAGCCCGGGCTCCTAAATCGAACATGATAAAAAAGATTCTAGCAGCGCAACCCGTGGGAATAAGAAGGCGGGGTAGAACAAAGCTGAGGTGGATGGACGGGATAACACAAGACGCCGAGAAGATCAAAGTCGGCAACTGAAAAATGCAAGCAAGGAACAGAACAGAATGGCGTAGAACGCTTGAGAAGGTCGAGGCCCCTTTAAGGGCTGTAGCACCAAGATGATGAAGTATCATTGATTGGAGGCTCTTATTCTTGTTTGCTGCTACTTTGTTTTCAGGTTCCATTATCACTAATTTAATTTTTTCAAATCATTTAGCATCTTGTTCTTTTTTTAAATGTTAGTTTCACGCCATGATTCAAATTCTGAAAATTAATGGGTGGTTTTGAAGTTTATAGGATTCTCTTTTTCAACACGTATCCTAACTGATTTGCTAACTCGTAGCTTAGTGGTATTTACCCTTAGTTTTTCGTTACATTAGGTTCAATTTTAAATTCTATCCAAAGTTTAAAGGTACTTTACTAAATGATACATACTACGTGTAGCTAGGTGCGTATTTCAATTTTGAGTTGTTAATGATTCTTCTTCTTCTTCAAGTGCCATCTCCGCGGCGGAGGTCGGCAATCATCATAGCTATTCGGACTTTTGAGACGGCTGCGGCTGCTCTGAAAAGTTCATTTGATGTACATCCGTACCACTCTCTCAGGTTACGCAGCCATGACATTCTACGCCTCCCTATGCTTCTATTTCTTGGATCTTTCCCTGCATAATCAGTTGGAGCAAGGTGTATTTCTCTCCACGTGTAATATGTTCGAGATATTCCAATTTTCTTGTTTTAATTGTATTTAAAATTTCTATTTCTTTATTCATCCTTTTCACAACCTCTTTATTTGTGACATGTTCTGTCCACGATATTTTTAGAATTCTTCTATGCACCCACAGCCCGAATGATTCCAGTTTTTTCACTGATGTCGCATTCAATGTCCAAGATTCCATTCCATAAAATAAAGTCGAAAAAACATAGCACCTCGACAACCTAACTGTTAGTTTCAATTTTAAATCATTTTCGACTGTTGTAGATTTAATTCAAGACCGAATATAATAATATCGCACCCTCAGTGCAAGACTGCAGTAACTTAAAATTTTATGAAAATGAAGTAATCATGGAATTCGATTGTAAACATGCATATCTATGCCCTGTAAAACTTTCAAATGCTTAACCGGCTAAATATTAAAACAACAACAGTTTAACTATTTTGCGTTTTTGTACATAAGTTCCGTGCAACACTGTTGTAATTCTAACGGAACAGAGTTACAACAGTTTTGCACGGAACATTGCAATAGAGAGTTTTTAAGCCCCTTATTTTCAGTAACGTTAAACGTTATACGTTATTCTGCTCATGCGCATTAACAGAAAAATAACGGATTACTTTATTAGCGGATAAGGTAGGTAGATAAGCGTATAAGGATTACGTGTTTGTAATGTTGTCAAATGCCAGATATCTAAATCATAAAAAACAAAAAAAAAGTCATATGAGCAGAACCAAAGATAACTAGAATAAAAAATATAGAAAATTTAGTTCAGCATCTTTCTCTTCAATTGTTTTCAACACAAAATGTAGTCTTGGTACAACAGGGATTACAGGATCAAAAATATTGTGAAGAATTAAGCCTCTTATCAAATTGTGATCTATTACTTCTCCGTGTCTTCGTCGTCTTAATATATTTTCAATATTTTCTTCCATTATAGCAAATAATTCAAATAAAATAGGTTATAGAGTATACCGTGGTATAACTGCCGTTTTATAGGTTACATTCGTCAAATGTCAATTAACGTTAATCTTTCATAGCTTAATTTCCGAAAGGATTCAAAAACTATTTTAAGTAAAAACGTTATCCCTTATTTATTATTCAAGGCGCATGACAAGTACAACGTTTTACGTTTAACGTCCATCGAAGAGTAAAGGGCCTAAAAACTCTCTAATATTTGTTATTTTAATATCTATATCTGTGGTGTTTAATTTTAATATACAGCGTGTCTACGTAATCCATTAACGGCCGAGATAATAAACAAAGATTTACGAGACCAATCTATTTATGTAAGTTTTAAGTCCTTTGTGTGACATTATATTTTCCACAAAATATGTGCGATGTCGTTTGACCATTTATTTATTAGATTGGATTAAAAACACATTAATTAAGACTAATTATTTACAGCCAAAAAGTATTTTTTTTTATGAAAGGAAAAACAGTTATCTTAAAACTTGTGTATTACCAATACTGACAGGTTAAAAAATTTTATTCTCAGAAAACTTGTTCTATAAAATCTAAATCCCAAATTGTATTAAATCTTCGTGTAACCTTCCGGGGCGATTGTCTTATCATATTGTTCCCCAGTAATTTCCAACTTTTACTAAGGTAGTGAATTTCAATCCTTTTTTTAATCACTGTACTCAAGGTAGCCTGATTTACATATAGTATACAAATATATACTATATGTAAATAGTCTGGTATACAACTATACCTAGAAAATTAAATCCGAAATATCTTGCAACGAACAATACAAACTTTTATGTCCTATACAAAATAAAACTAATAAGTCGTGAGATATATGCGAAAAAATGAGGAAAATTTTTTTCATATTTTGTTGATTAAAAAGTTAAACCCACATTTTACAATTTACGCATAGTGAAATTATTATTTATAGTAATATTTTCGAGCGATTTATTCAAAAAACTGCGATTATATGCTTCACACCCAACTATCACTCTAAAAACTTTTCAACATCAGTTGATTTTCTCCGTGAAATTTCAATTTCAATAATTAGTATTACAGTAATACATATAAAACATAACAAACATAAAAAACGAAACGGTATTAGAATGTAATAATTCTACCAAAAATGCCAAACATACTTAACCTAAAAGCTGTACAAAACAATGTCCTAACAAAACGGTAATTTCATTTCTAGGAGTGCCATCTATATTCCATGCCGTGAACGCTTTAGTTTACTTTATTATATGGTTGTAAAAAATATCTTGAACAAGTTGTAAAATATTTTATTTGTGATTTTTAAAACATACTCAAGTTTATTAAAATTATTTCAAAGATACTAATCTTTTGCTCAAGAACAACATCATGTCTTTGTAGTTTATGCTTGTTATTTTATATAAGAATATATTTAGTAAAGAAAATTTAACATTACCTCACTAGTATCAGAAGCCTCTTCGCCATTAGTTTCAGTAATAAGAAGCAACTTATTTTCTTCTGCTTCAATATCAATAATACCGCCTTTGCTCTTCTGATAAGTAAACAATTCCTTCATGTGTTCCTGTAGTATCCTTAAATCACTGGTAACTTCGAATTTTTGAGCATTTTCTAAATCTTTAGGAGGAAGAGCTGATTTCAGTTCTTCGACATCACAGTTTATTGATTCCCGACAAACTGGGCAAGTTGCCTAAAAACATTAAATGAATCTTTAAAACATATAAAGGTTTATAAATATATGACATCCTCCAAAGATCAAGGAGAAATGGATCTTTTAGAAACCAATAACTTAAATATCGTCCATATACTGCGAAAACCAGGTAAAAGACAAATTTTAAAATATTGAGTTAAGTATACCAAAATTCTCAGCTTTTTCCGCTCTACATACAGGTAAAACCCAATAAATGATACGACTTACCATTCAGCAGATAATTTGTGTAATAAACAAATAAGTTACACCTAACCAACTTTTCATGTTCAAATAAAACAATACATCACTACTTACTTCTCTAAAATTAAAGTTCTGTTGCATGTAAAACAAAGTAAGCCCACATAATTATGCCGGACAATTACATGTATGATTTATTAAAATTTCTCTTTCATATCGACTAGTAGTAGAAAAACCTTTAAGTACACTTACCTCATTCTACCTGAAAACGGGTTAAGTTATTATTTAAAAATGATTACTAAGCTAAAACCATAAATGATTTTAATGGTGTTTATGGTAAAATTTATCTGCTAATATCTGCTGTGTAGATTTATTTTAGGATTCATTGAATACGTGTTTGTATAATATGGACAAACGTTTTAGAACTTAGTAGAAATTAAAATGCGTTAGGCTTTCACGGCCATCGTCTAACTTATTAACTGTTTGTTCGGGCTGTTAAGCCGTTGTCTTCTGAGATTAGTTCTCAGCGTTTAGCGTTCCTTTTTTCGTTTTTTGGGGGAAGGGTGTTTCTGGATTTTAATATTGGTATCCATGTTTTGTTAATTTTTAGTCCTTCTTCTATATGATTAAAATTATTTGGATGCTTATATATTTCCATCACTTTCCGATATAACTGTGGGTAGTACTGTGAAAACATCATAATATTCTAGGCTGTTATGCAGATACGGATAAAAGAGGCAAGCATACACCACCAAATAAAACAAGCAATGCAACCCGAAAATCGTGAAGGCTCATATAGAGTGTTTTCCAACCATGGGCCCAGGTTATAATCGCGAAAGTTCAAATTGTAGATATTTGGACAAAAATTTAACTAAAAAAAAAATGTACCAACTTTATATAAATGACTGAGCAGAAGAAACTGAAAGGTGTTAGGCAAATTACATATCGAAGAATATTTTCTAATGACTATAATTTAAGCTTTTTTGTTCTACAAAAGATCAATGTTTAGTTTGTAATTAATATGATAGGGCTAATCCAACTGACAAATCGGGTTTAGAAGACAGTTTAAGAGAACATCAGAAAAGAAAAGACCTATGTAATCTTAAAAAACAAAATGATAAGAAAAGATCTAATGAACAACGGTATTGTGTTTCAATTACTTTCAATCTACAGGCGGTATGACAGATTCCAAGTGGATTGACTGGACAACTATATTATTCTCGAAAATTATGCGTGTGTATATGAAGCCGCATTACCAAATATCATCTCAGATATATGCATCTTTCACTAGAATACCTAATATCAAAAACGAGCTGACTGCTTAATTCATATTAAAAAACTAAACTTTAAAAATGTTTGTTCCTGATTTCGGTATTCTGACATTTACCTGGTTTTTGCAGTATACTGACAATATGTCAATTATTATTTACTTATTTATTCAGTCAAACTTTTTTCAGAAGCTCTTCCCTCAACCTGGTTCCTGGTTTTTTTGTTTATTAAAATGTGCACATCTTTCAATAAATAATAAATTCTCAGAAATGTGAATGCATAAAATAACTTCATTATTGTCAGGTTTTTTGGATTCAATCAACTCAGGTAAATGGATTCAATCATCTCAATATTTATTTAAAAAATATATAAAATTTGTATTATTCTGGCTATAAATGTTATACATGACAATGTTGCTTACATCTTCATTCTAATGACAAGAAGTAGAAAAGAAAATCAATGTTGCTGTAAGACCACCACTAATTTAGCTATGTGGTGCATAGCAGTAGTACGATTTACTTTAAAATATTTGTTTATGTTGCGATGGATACTAAAATATGCTTATATTAATCACAAGTATAAAAAAATAGACTAATAAAAAAAGATTTTTAAATGCACACACATATAACTTCTACTAAAACATACAGTTTTTGTGTGTGTACATTCATGAAAAATGAATTACCTGAAATCCTTTGGTAGACTTTTGCCACAACGGTAGCTTATCTTGTTCCTCTTGATAATGCCTTTTGGTAGTGACAAGATGTTTATGTAAGCAATAGGAGTGGAAATAGTGGTAACATTCAGTTTTGGTAAAACTATCCCCTTCAGTAAAACCATATAAACATACAGCACATTGGCATGTAGGCAAATTACTTTCTGTAAGGCTTTCTCTGATGAGCTAAAATATATGGGTAATATGAGCATTAAACATATATAATTATTGATAAAAATAACTTCTTACTGGTGGTGTATCAAACTTACATTATTTTTTTTCTTTTATAACAACCTGTATTTTAATGCATTTTTAGATTGCATAACAAAAATTAAATAATACTCTTAATAATACAATACTCTTACTATATGTAAATACTGGTTTTCGAGAAATACTTCTTTCTAGATTTTATTGTGATAACTTGACCAGGATTTTGATTACACTGCATGTTTTATTCTCCAAATTTTAAGTAGCTTTATGAAAAACGAGATTAAAACTACTTCCCTTCTTAATATAAAGTCTAATACATTAGTTACCCTTAAATAAAATATAACTACGTAAATTCAGCAAAAAGCATTAACACAATTGAAGGTATTGATTCCCAACCTATTCAAAATTTGATTGTGTATAATCAATGCTGGAGAACTACTTCTACATTTAAGTTAATTATATTCAATTACAAAATAAGTAATCTACAAACCTCAATTAATTCAAAAATTACGGGTTGGCCGACGTATTCTGTGCATTTTTCCTCAATTGATTTATATATCTCGCTTATTGTAGAATCATCTAAACCTCGAGGATTTCTTAATTGAACATTTGGCATGCAATCGGGATAATCTTCTGGAAGTTTCACTTCCAGGGTTACACGAACATATTGTTTGTTGACTTCATTGGCAGTTGAGGGAAAAATTGTCGACTTGACCAATTCCGGGCGACCCCTAGAAAAATAAAAGGTAGGCACTAAATAAATTTATTTAAAAGCAAACCAAAACAACATACTGTTCATCATATACTATGGATATATCATCCAATAAAATTGCTTCTAATGCTTCCAATTCCTCCTGGACCCTGCAAATTAAACTCTAGATTAACAAACCAAGCACGACTTAATACCTTTATGTACCTTTCGTTAACAGACATTCTTTTTATAATTATAAAATCACAAAAATGGAATAATATAAGATAAATCAATATTATTTTAAAAAGTAAAAAATATAAGTTTGTTCGTTTGTTAAAACAAACAAAATACGATGATTCACATACAAGAGTGAGATGGCAGTAGTGTACTTGGGATTTCTAGAATTTATTTAATAAAAATATGTCCACTAATGCGACAAAATGATTTAAAATTAATTTTTAGAAGAATTTAATACACTGTTTAGGCTTATAGATTAGTCATGATATCACAACTACACCGTTAAATAAAATTATTAAAGATAATTAGAAGATATTTGTGACTTCCAATAAATAATTTATAAAATGAGAGATAAAAACTTCTTCTTCTTAGTGTTCCTGTCCGTTCCGAACGTTGGCGATCATTCTGGCTATGATAATTTTGTTGGTTGCTATACGAAATAGCTGTGTTGAGGTCTTTCTATACCATGCTCTCATGAGATAAAAACAAATGTGTAAAATAGCAACAAAGGCTTCCACGAAAATCATTTTTAAAAATAAACCTCTATTTTTAACTTGTATTATATAAATTACACAACATATTAACATAAACAGTTTTGATATGAAATTTACCCTTAGCTGTAATGCACAATTATGCAAGACCGATGAACTGATTAATGATTAAAGTTTGTAGATTGAGTAAGAAGTGTTTGTCAATTATTAAACGTCAATCAAAACCAAACGAACATTCGGTTTTTGACAGATAAGAATGAATCCTGAATTATTTTATATAAAATATTTAAAAACGCAACAAATAAGTATGTGATTACTTCCATTAATGAAATTATGTACTGTCTTCAATGGCTTATTCCTGTTTTATTGATGCCTAAACCTTCCAATCCAGCACTTGTACAAACACACGTTATGTTTATGGTGTTATATCTCATAGGTTTTTTCTTAGAGAGAAAGCCATGTACAATATGTAGTTTAGTGTTTCTAGCTGCAGTATTTTTAATATGTTACAGTGGATTAGGCAATTGTTTATTATGGTCTTCGCATTGTGATAACGATAATGGATAGTAATGTATAGACTGCCTCAACCATCAATACTTTGTGTTGGATTGTTAGTTTTAAGAAGAGATGTTGGTACAGACACCGTTCCTTCCTGAAGGAGTAAATGTATTAACTGAAAATTTTAAGTGGACATCGAGTGGTGTTCAGTTATTTATTGAAATGTAAATATTTTTGTATATTTTACTCTTTTACACTATTGGTGATAGGTATGTTTTTATGCCAAAGAAGTTAGTTCTTTTATATTATCTGTTAATAAATGATATACAAACTAACCATGATTTATCATTGCATGAATAAATCAAAGTAGATATGAATATATACTATAATTTGATTCTATTGAAGTAAATATCTTGCATGAAATAGATAAAATTATGTAGAGAAATTATACCAGCTTGATATTTTGACAATCGGTACTGCAAAGAAAACTTGATGGAATTAATGTATCAGCTGTATAATAAAGTTAGAATAATTATTAATGAATCAAATAGTATGTTTATATAGTATTGGATAACCAGAGAAAAGGAAGCTTGATAAAATATTCAAAATTTACAGGATATATTATAAAATACATATATTATATTTATTTGCAATTTTAAGTAGTGTTTTAACTACTTTGGTTATTTCATCAAGATTCCTTAAACCAATACCTTAAAAGAAAAACTTGAATATCATACAGAAAATAATTAATATCTAAATGAACATGGTATAAATGTAAGAAAGGACCTGCAAACACATCATTAACATCAGGCAAGGTGACAGTAGTGATTTTAATATAATATACTGGTATTTTATAGACTGTTAAAAGTTGTTTGATTCAATTGAACACTGGGCACTTGCAGAAGACCTTAACAATGCCAGGATTTATCATGGAAATTTAAAAAAATATATAAGTATATCAGAAATCACAATTAATAATTAGATTTAACAAATAAAAAGAGCAATGGGAGGAAATAAAACAAAAGTAGAATACATAATGTAAATAGTGGCAAAATTAAAGTTTCTTTTACATAGGGATATATTGTATGATGAGAGAAGATTGGTTCTACTGCAAGTTATGGGAAATACTGATCTTTTTAAAGATCAAGATCAACAGGACTGGATTACTTAAAATACTCTAAGTCAGTAATCTGGGTCTGATTTTTATCGTTATTGAACCATTGGCTTAAAAATGGTAATGTCTCATAACCTTACTACTCTCAATACTATTATAACTACTCTTAATATCCCGAAAGGTTCTTTAATGAGGTAAAAAGGATATTAAACTTACATTTACAATTAGTCCATTTCATTCCTTACTGTATATGTAAAGTAGATCGTGAAGTGATTCCCAGGTGTAGACATCTGGAGGGCTGTTTGATCCACATATTTGAGGTTGCTAATTTTTCTTCTTGGCTTAATTATACTAGTATGTCCTTATGTTGATTTATTTCTACTAGACAATTATATCATACTGTGTTGTCAGATCTTCCTTTGCATATGTTGGCTTTAAAATCACATATGATAATGATTATTATTTCATTTTTATTTATATTTCTTGATTCCTGTATAACATCTATCAGCTGTTATCAGGCATAGCAATGTTTAAAAAATGTTTTTAACTATTTTTCAAATCTGCATAAAATCATATGAGTGTTATACTACATTCAGTTGGTCTGGGAAATTGTTACCTGAGTAGTATATAATCAATTTGTTGGTAGTATTATATGATATATTTGTTGGTGTTATTTTTTTTCATTTCTATTTTGAGTTTGCCTTCCATTGACATTCTCCTGACATCTCATATTCCCACATTAATATCTACCGGGTGGTGAATCGTCAAACGGGCCATAGGAAACTCAATGGGAAATTTTAAATTGTTGAATTGCTGCTTCCCTAATTATTTTAGATCAAAAGTCATAAAAAACTATTTGTAGAGGACTAAATTCTAAATTAAAAACAAATGTTAAAACCGTTCTACGAATCAAATGTACTTCAAAATTTTGCAAAAATATAATAGATTTTTCAGACCACCCCTAAAAGTTAGGCCACACGTAATACAAGAATATATTATAACGTTTGTGTTTTATCATATTCATGTCAGATGTTTTACAATGAATTTTAGTAAATACTACTACTACTGAACAATATTACTTCGTGAACAATAAATTATATTGTTTACAAATCGATCAATATAATGAAATGTACTCAGTTGACGAAAAATCGCATAATGTTGTATTCAGGCAATAGCGCGAACCTTTTCCTGTCACTACCAGATCTTTATTTAAAGTAAGATATTCTAATACACTAAAATTTAATTCCATGTTAACAATTCAATGAATTCCAATATATTGTTACTGTGATCTTTATTCCTAATAATAATATACGATAATTTCTAAACATAAACTATAACAAATGTTGTAATAAACCATGAATAAAACATTTTTATTATTGCTCTTTTCTCCTTAACTGAGTACATTTTTTAATCAACTTAATTTGCCTTTTAAATAATAAATCACAAAATTTTGGCCATTTAAATCATAGATAAATATAATATACTTGATATTTAAATATTGTCAAATATAAACCTGTCAATATGACAAAACGCAACACGTAATACACATTCTTTTCACGGCGTCTAGCCTGACTTTTAGGGGTGGCCTGCAAAATGTATTATATTTTAGCAAAATTTTGGAATACGTTTAAGTCGTAGAACAATTTTAACAATTGTTTTCGATACATATTTGAGTCCTCTACAAATAGTTTCCCATGACTTTTGGTGTAAAATAATTAGGGAAGCAGGAATTCAACAATTTAGAATTTCTCATTGAGTTTCCTATGGCCCGTTTGACGATTCACCACCCTGTATACAGATTTCTGCCTTCGGGCAGTTCCTTTATCATGAAGATTCTTTTTTCTCCTTAACTGTAAAAATTAATCACATGTGAGTGTTTCATGTAAAAACTAAGAGAACATGTGTACTTGTTTCAGAACTTAGTACTTGGCATGCATATCTGCAGGGATGTTCCATCAGACAATAGGATGTGCTGGAGTTGAGAACTTTATCACCCAGTCTGTCTTGTAAATTCTATAAGCTATAATAATTATTACTAATCAGTTGATTGATTAGTATTGATCAGTAGCATGACTTTTTTAATTACTAAACTATCTCGCTATATTAATATAAGCCTCGCTCTTACTTTCTATGTTTAAATATTTAAAAATCATTTTGTATGATTATTTCAATAGCACCTATCCTTTGACATTTTTTTTATACTTACTATTAACTAGTGCAAAATTTAATTTTATTAAAACAGTTTATCTCTACCAACAGAGGCTTACAGTGTAATGATATGAAGTATGAAATGAAGTATTTTTTCTATATTGCATACTACTTGGAGAATTGTATTTTAATACAATTTTTCAATTCCTCAACAGTTATTTTAGGTCAGTAAAACAAATTTACACCGTATAGTGTGTCTATTATCATCCATAGTGTCATGTAATATCTCATATATGTTCATTAAAAAAGAAGATACTGTGTAGTGCCCTTTTGATAATTGCCTTGTTTGTATTTTTATCTTAATATATTTGTTATATCCTCTCCTTTCATTTGCTATGTTGCATGTTAGGATTCGATCAGTTTTTTATTTTGTACTCAGCCAGAGGCCTTCTTTATGTCAATAAATCAAAATTTGTCTCTTTGAGTTAATCTATTTTTATCCTATATAGTGTCCTATGATATCTCGTAAGTAACTATATGTTCATTAATAAAGAAGATACTGTGTAGTGCCCTTTTGGTAGTCGGCTTGTTTGTTTTTATCTATTTATATAATATAATATAATATATAATATATTTGTTATATCCTCAACTTTCATTTAACGCATCACACGCTCCAATAGGACTAATAACAACGGAACTATTGTTTTATGGCTCTCAGCATATTCGCTACCCCCTCGCCTTTCCAATGATGTATCATTGTATTCTACTCCCACCACAAAACGCTAAAAAATGAGCAGACTGATCCTTACCGTTTTCGTGTGGGATTTTACATGGGAA